TGATAGATAACTCATTAAAATTACTTGAAACTCTACTGAATTTTAATTAACAAGAGTGCGAGGAGCAGGTGTTAACTTGTTTTATAGACTCATTATAGTCCCTTGGGATTCCCTAGGCACACTAAGATATAGTTGCCAAACATTTAGAAGGTCCATATTTTGACCCTTTTTGTCTCATTTACAGACTTGTATTTGTAGCAGGTATTTATTTATATTAATTTAAGGCTCTTGCTTTGAAGCCAGGCATTCAAACCCCAGGAGCTGCAGGACAAGTTCATTAACAGGACTTCATCAGGAAAGGATGCTGTTTCTGTCTGCAGATAACTTATGGAGAGATTGTCAGCTCCACCCTGCCTCCAGTTCACCATGTTCTTTTCCCTTCTATGTCTTCAGGGATGCTACCATTTACCTACTGACATAGTGGCTATCTAACAGCTGTCCAATCTAAATAATCTGAAATTGCCCGGGTTAGTTTACACACTTTAATTTACAGAGGTCTCTTCTAGCCTGTATTGTTTTGAATGAAGTGAGGTAGAGAGCAATAACATTATATAAACCACAAAATAACATGGCAGTAATCTCAGGGGTGTGTTTGGGTGTGTGAGGCATGGAGAGATGCTCAGAGCAGTAAATTCTTCATAGACCCAACTCAGGGTATGTGACCAAGGTGTTTGGCTTGGGTTTTTTTAAACGTCTATTAGATGCTTTTACTGCATATTAAGGTCAGCAGCCTCTAAATTTCTTAGGCTTGCCATGCACTTCTAGTACAGGCATAACTGGTAGAAGCTGGAGCTCTCAGATACCAACCAGGTGACTATCTCTGGTCTGTCTTGTGAACCTGAAAATGAATCTCTAATATCTTCTGGAGTTAAGTGCCTATCAGCTTGGGTTTTCTTATGGAGAGACATTCACCTAGCCCCCTCATAAGTCAGTAGACAGAGATTTGATCTTAATTTTTCCAGATGAAGGTGTTGAACCTGCATATTCCTATACTACCATCAAATATTCTGCTCACCAGGTTACCTGCAGGGCTGGCTTCCCTCTGATCCAGTGCACTGTTAAACTATCGAGCGGCTCCAGGGGAAGATGTTGAGAATGTACCACCCTGGGACATGCTGGGGAGCATGTCCTGGTGGTGATGGTGGTGGTGGTGGGCTTCTGGTCAAGTTCCTGGTCTAAATGAACAGAATGGGGATGTGAAAACAACTTCTACCTGCACAATAAATCCCATGGCCACTCCTCTGTTGAGCTGACATTCATGTCTCAAAATTTTAGGCACCTATCAGACAATTCTGAGAGTTTAGGTTCCCTGTACAGTAAGCCATATTGTGGAAGTAATAGACACCTCTAGAGAATAATTCAGATCTTGGTCTTTCTGCGATGAATACAAAGAAGCCTTGTGTGACCACACATAATTAAAATGCTTCAGTTGAATAGCTAGAGTTAAGGAGGAATCCAGGTTCTGGTGTCTGAAAATAGACAGTCTCTAGAAGCTGTCGTCTTGACTTCCAGGCTGAACTCAATCCAACAGACATGTTTTGAGTATGTCTGCAGGCTCTGTTGTATGCATTTTGTAGCTGAAGGTGTGCTATTTTGATAGCTCCATCAGGGCTTCAGTGCTGAACTTTTGTAGAGACTGAGGAGCCATGCAGACAGCCAGCATTACGGGGTTATTAGACCCTGACTCCTTGTTACTGCACAGAAATGATGCAATGTGGAATTTAGGGACCAGTAATGGGTGGAGCAGTAAAACCTGTTATGTTTTAACCTTTTACCATCAGCAGTAAATCCACTTGTACACATGTATTTTATAATAACTGGACACAATTCACAAAGGATGCTGAAACAGGATTTTACAGTAGCTAATAGATACCATTTGCTGTAAAGAGAGCTCAACAAAGACCCCGAGATGAAAAAAAAACCCACCTATCTGTCCACAGAAATCACGTCCAAATTGTAATCACTTCAGTAAAAACTTTAGTAAGAGATAACATCATATTATTATATATGAAGATGTAACTGTGATTCTCCATTTTAAAGGAATCCAGTTGTGGGCTACATCTTGTTGGGTGCTACACTGTCCAGTGACTTATAAGATCAGGTTTTCAAGGTTTAAAGTGTTTTCTATCCTATTAGGATAAATATGGATCAGCAGGTTTCTTAGAATAAGAAACATTGGAGACACTAAAGCTATTATGACTAAAGCCATTGATGGTTATCTGCTAATATACAGAATCTTTGGAGATGGTATGTGGAAGTAAAGGAAAAATCCCTGCAGAAATAATAAAACTTCTCTGATCTATAAGACAGTTTGACTACCACCTGTGGAGGCTGCACAGTTATTATCAGGCAGAGCAGAAATATTACTTTAAGCTCCTTAATCCCAGAGAATTATAACAAAAATATAGAAGTTGATAATGACAAGTACAAAAGAAAAGCTAAAAGATATTTTCAGAAAATGGCAAGTGAGAAACTCTGCCAAATACAGATCTGGTCTTCAAACCCTGGCAATAACCACAGAATTTACTGACTTTAAAGGGCTCCTGACAACTTTAATTTCACCTGCCTGATCTGCAGTGAACTCTGTAATTGCCCTGACTTTGCCAAAAGATGTCTGAGGCATTTTGATTCCTCACTCAAGGATTTTAGTTCTGCAGTCTTGCCTTCATCCAGAATCTACCTAGCATCCTGAGAGCAGCACAATAATCACAATATTGAAAACACTGTCTGCTATAGGAATTTTGTCCCTGTAATGAGGTCTATGAGTGAAATGCCTACCACAGTGACTGTGTGCAAATGCAGCTCATCTCACTCTGTTAAATGGGAGCATGCAGAGAAGATCCCTCCCTTTGTTTCGTGCAAGCAAGCAGTGGGAAAAATATTTTGTCAAAAGTTGAGAAAAGACCTTGTTATCTGAAATTCAGCTGAGAAGGACTGAATTCTGCTTCTCATTAGAGCAGTTCAATTCTAGAGGAAATCAAGGACATGTTGAGTAGGTTCTGTGTTTCACAAAGACCTCAGTTCAGATTTCATTTAAACATACACTTTATCTTCAGTTCAAGGCTACTTAACATGGTGTACCTTGACATGGATGTTGAACGTATTTAAGGGCTTGCAGGAAGGGCTGTCCACAGCTGCCGAGGAGCTGGCCAAGCAGCCAGATGAATCAATCTAGGAAAGGGAGAAATCCATCGCAATAGAAACTGGTGCTGCAGGAGCCCTGGTGTGACCCTACAGGCTCATCTTGCCCATTCAAGTTAATGACTTGAGCAGTTTTGTAGGACACTTAGCTCTAGAAACGGGCCTAGACTGACACACATAACACTATTTTTAGTACCACCGAACCACAGATGAGTAAGGCTAAAAGGCATAGTGGTTTTTTACTGTGTAGTCAGGGCTTTTCCATTCAGTGAATGGTGTGAAGGTACCATTAAATACTGCACCAATGCATAGGTATGCCTGCATTATACACTGACTGTTCTGGTGTTTCCAAGATTTACACAGGTAATGCGTCAGTGGAGTCTGGAAGATGGTGTTTGGTTTGGTAAAGGCAAGCTCTATGAAGAGCAAAGTGCTAGTACACACTAATTCCTTAACACAACACGGCTGTTTCAAGCTCGTCAGAGAAAATCACTGCCCTAGAGAAGAGTCTTGCTCTACTCCTGCTGCACTCAGTAGATCTTTTGCTGTTGAAATTGCCAAAAAACATTAATAACCTTGATTTTGAAGATTCAGCCTGAATTTGCAACAATCATCTTTCAGATTTGCAAAAGTTGCTTCTATGATGAAACAGAAACTTCTCAGGTCATCTGAAAGAAAGGCTGATGTGGAATAGAGCAGGTACTGATAGTCATAACAGTGAGGTAAAACAAACCAGATGCAAGGCCAGAAGGCAAACAAAAAGGTAAGACTATTTTCATGTGAGCCTACAGAGGCTTGTTTAGCAGTTTGACTCTATGCCAAATAGTTCACTGCACCTCTAAAAAATTGCTTTACTCTAAAAAAGTAATCTGAAAGATCCCTGGACTGCAGTCAACTTAATATCACACATATCTACATCTTCAAAGCATTCTCTTTGGCTCAGCATAGCAACATAAGCATAACTATTAGTGGTTATTTCAACCTTGAGGTAATTGGATGCTCCAATACCCCACCCACTAAACAAATAAATTGACTTTGATGTCCCTTTAATATGTCACAGAAGAAAAAAATAAAGGCCTTCTATTTAATGGTGTTGAAAAGATTATTCTAAAGGTTAATATTTTCAAATGAATACTAAATGTAAAAATAGTATTTGTAGTCCATTCTTTCAGCTCCTTGCTATATTTGAAATACAGCATCTCTGATGACTTGCCAAGGCATTTCCCTACAAATAGGGAAATCTTTTTTATTATAGCCAGTTATTCCACAAATACTCACTGATATGGACTTGATCATTGTGGCCATCTATCCATCAAGGCTCAAACCTAAATCACTGTTCAACATCTATGGAGTTATGAGAGAGACAAGGAGTTATAACTCATTGGACGCTGGTACATCATGCTGCAACTCCAGCTAAAGTTTAAAGGGATGCAATAATAGCTGAGATTACTGCTCTGTATATCAGAGTATTTTTTTGCAGCACAGTTCCAGTCTCTCTACTTGTAGTTTAAAGTATACCCTGGTTCTACTCCAAACTCCACGTGCTGCTGGAGCTGTTTGTCTCAGTGTACTTGTTCCCCAGCCTAATTATCTCAATCCTACCACCAATTCCAGGGCCATTCATGTCTGTATTAGGAGGTGGAACTCACCCTGACAATCAGGTCTTTTGCTATTTTAATGGTAATTAATGGCCCTAAAGTAAATATATGGGGGAAAAAATCCTATATTATGAATCGGTCTTAATATAGTAGGAATACTTTAATTCTTATTCAGGCAAAATGTCACAGCAGATGTGATCATTCTAGAGTTAACCATTGATAGAAACACATGTAGTCTCACTGGAATTCAAACACGGTAATTCTTTTATTGTCTTAATCCATAAATGTTAATGAGTATGAGCAAGTCATGCTTCCATGTCAATCTCACCTCTCTTCTTTCATATACCTAGAGATGCTAGACATATTTTAAAGTTAAATAATGAAAGATGTACCTCAGTATTTGGCTTAGTCTACATTCCCTTTGTTTATTCCTAAAATTACATGGATCATATGTAGTGTTGGAAAAAACTTATTCAAAGGACTGATTTAAATAAAGATCAATTTGCAAATTGTACCAGTGACGTACAGACATATATATGTACATAGATATACAAAAAATACAAAACACACAGGAAAATTTCCACTTGATACATTTGAAAAATATTAAGATTTTGAAAACATTAAGACATCTGGGTGCACAGCACATGTAAACCATTTTGTGGTGAAACCTGAAGTGATGAATTGCTCATTTGCTGGTATCAGCTATCATCATTATAGCTGATGGTTCAGCAATAGGCTTTGATTATAAAAAAACCCAAAACATAAAAACCCACTTCATGCCTTAAAAACATTTGTGTACAGAACAATAACAGTAACAGCATGTGGATTTAAACAGGCTACAAAAAATTCTTAGAGCAGAATTGTAATACACCTATCATTGATCATCTTAATACAAAAGACATCTGGCTGCATTTTGCATCTACTAAAATTAATGGCATGATATTAAGTCCTTCAGCTTTAAGGTTGTGCAGCCCTGGAGTTCCAGACCCAAGAGTATATATTATATCATTTGCATACAATTATATTCCTTAGATAATCATATTGCTCAAAACCAAATGCTGACATTTTCAGTATTTATGCACAGCTCCTGACCCATCTTTCATGTAAAGCTCCAGACTGGGGAAAACCTTACATAGAAATACAGGGACATTTTCTGTGGGCACAGCAGCAGCATTTTATACAGAAACAGAGGTAATCACACTGTCTCACTAAATGTAATGTTATTGTTTAAATTAGGAGCTTTGACAATATAGTGGAAGGTCCTCTAGATTAGACATTTCAGATCATCTTTTTGAGGATCTGGATATCATCTAGGGAAGCCAAACTCCATATTACATGAAAATTTCCCATCATACCACATTTCCCAACATATCTGAAGGAGAAAGAATTCACAAAACTTCAGCTGAGGATACAGACTGTGCTGAGTTTAAGGATCTTTGGCAAATCCTAAATGTTGTGTCATTAATTTCTAGCCCTACTTCTAAATAGAGCAGCCCCTCTGTGTGCTACTGAGGCCAATAGGATGGTGATTAGTTCTGTGTTATAATCTGTTTATAACCTGACATTGCTTGCAGCTTCTTTTCCCAAAGGCACTAGAAGATATTGGAGAATTATATGTAAAATTGTGAAGGGGCAAGTATGCCACAGAGCTCATCGGATCCTTCATTAGACTCATACTTACCTGGTTCTTACTCCCTTCTCTAGTGCATAGTGGGAGAGAGTGGTGCCTTGATTGCCTGCTCCATGACTGGATTTATAAAAATCCATAACTGGATAATTTGTAGGGAGAACAGTCTTACGGGGTGCCATTAACCCATCACTCAACTGCTAAGCCTGGACCATGCCTGGTTTCCCATCAGGGCACCACAACGGTGAGTGAGTGTGCTGCCAATGCTATGGCAGGGGATCAGCAGACAGTTCCCCCCTGCGGTGGTAAAACCTCTCCTTGGGGTTTCACCCAGAGCAGATCGCAAATATCAGTCATGTAGCTGGGCTGCACTATGAAACTAGTGTTCAGAGAAGGTCTTGTTCTTGCCAAGCGTGATATGAAGGCAGTACATTCTGTTCCCACCACATCACACACTCCTCCTGACAGATTAAAAACCAGATCCCAAAGTTCTTATGTATATTAGCAAAGGGGATTTTTCTTCTGCTGTGGTACTGGCTTCACACATTGGCAAGTATTTTATAAAAAATCATGAAAGAAATGGCACTGCCATGTGGGTAGAATACTTGCTTGGCTTACAGGGCAAGGTAGGCACTGAAGCACACATCTGAGCAGTCTTACTGCATATGGCCATTCTCCTAAACTGGGACCATAAATAAGGTTATGTTAACATACTCACTATATTTACATGTTACATCGAGGAAGTTATAATCAGTCTCAAGTCTAAGTAATCTATCTCTACATTAGCTTTAGAACATGCAAAAAATAGAGTAGACATCTGTTCCATCTAAGACAGAAAGAAGGGATGTGTTTTCACTAAAAACACTAGAGTTCAAAGCTTGGCATCATCAGTAAAATGCTAATAGACATTTTCAAATTGTATAAACCAAGTGTTGAAATAGAAAAGGTTTGGTATTGAAGGGGAACCCATCAACATAAAACAACTCTTTAAAATGGAATGTAGCCAGTTTCTAAATACATTCAAATAGTACAGTGTCTCTATAAATAGAAAATTAGATAGTGCTGAAGAGCTAAAACAATCCTTTCCAAATTGTTCAAGTGTATATATTTCTCTGTCTTTACTATCATTAATACACAGCTGCTTGAACTACAGCTGTTCTAGCCTTTGGCAACAGTTCAAATAACTCCCTCTCTTCTCTGCTTTGCAATTCTCCATCTTCCATTTTGACACCACAGAGTTGCCAGGGCATATCTTGATTTCATGAAGTTTTAGGAAAATGCCACATGTCCCAAACTCTGTTAGTGTGTATGCAGCCAATCAAGGAAGTATGTCATAAATTCACCATGGTCCTTCGATTTTTACACAAGTAGTGGCATATCCCTAGTCCCAGTACTATATCCAAGAGAGGCTATGTGCTGACAAGCTCCCTCTTACTTGCACAGAGCCTGCTGAGAAGGATTTCAGAATAAACTTGATTTATTGGACCTCGGACATGATATGGGGACTGAGAATTTGTTGCATAGTCCTGCAGTTGTGATGGCTTGCTTTGACTGCCAAAATATTTCCCCAGTGTATAGTGCCTTGATAACGTCATTGGTACATGCGGACTTTCTTCAGAGGGATTGGATTTCACCACCTGCAAAAGAAGTGACATATGTGAGTGCTTTCTGCCTGTACCTAGAAAGACACACAGCTGTGCGTACAGAAATGCTGAGACAGTTCTCCACAAAGCAGGTCCTCATATTCTTGCCTTGAGCTGCAAGTTGCTCACAAACAGTATTTTAGGGGGGCAACTTGTTATGTTACATACTAATTGAAGTGCCAGATCTTATTCATTTGAGCCTTGACATCTATATCTATAGGCCCATTATACTCACTTGACTGATTCTGTAATGCCTTTGCATATTAGACTCTGTTCTCTCCATTAGGGACAACTTATCTGAACAACAAAATCCATACTCAACAGCTTGTCTGTATACTTACCTTGGGAAAAACTAAACACAGGACAGCCCTGACTTGCTCTTATCCCAAGCACTTGAGGAACATATGCTGTGTGTGTCTCAGCTGTGAGCCCTGTGAGAATGTCTCACTCTTAGGACTTAATGCAAACCTGGCCCAGCTCCATGTTGAGATGAAAACACTCATGTGTCATGCTTCTCCAAGAAGGGAGTTACAGTGCAAGCTAACATCCCTCTCCCCGGGGCTTCACACTAACATAATCACATTGTGGTTCAGTAACTTCATGCAGAAGAATACTCCTCCTTGCCTCCCCAAATATGGATAAAGCTCTGGGATTATTTTGTTCAATTTGTATCGAATAAACAAATGCCTGTGCCTAATGACAGAAAAGGTGAAAGGTATGGTTGTCACGACTGGGGA